AGTCCGGACTGTCGGGTGGTAATTATAAAAACAATTAGGTTAATAAAAATTAGTAGGAAATACAAACACAAAGCTCATTTCACACTTATCGAATTATATATTTAAAATATTTTTAAATTTTTAACAAAAAAACACTAAATTTTTACAAAAAAGTAAATATTTGATAATTTCTAGCCGTTTGATGATTTGTAGTTTCTGATTGAAAGTTAGTGTTACGTGTATTCATATCTCTCGAATTCAATACCAAGACCTAAGTTCTAAAAATATGGTCACTGCACAGTTAAGTGGTAAAATCTACAAGTGTATTGTGCCCCTGTGTTTAGTAGAGTAAGTTAAACTAGTGGGGCGCATGGCTTCGTGCCTTAAGGCAAATTGCTGGAACTTCCCGTACCAAATATTATTATTTTTTTAAGAACGATTAACATTTTTGAAAAAAAATTACTTCGAAAAAATTTGATTTTTGAGAAACTAGGACTTTGACAAAAAATTACTTTTTTTGTAAAAAAAATTTTTTTTTTGAAAAAAAAATGTTTTCTTTATTTTGACATATTTTAGAAATTCTGAACTTTTTTTCAAAGCAATCGTACTGCTTTAACTGCATAGAGACAAAATGTAAAAGCGCGTAAGCGCCGCGTCGCCGTCTAACGGATAAACATTGGTACTGAACCCATAGGAATGCAAACAAAATTTATACTTATTGTTAAAATCTCTATAAAATATCTGATAATTTGATGTGCATATGTCTAATGATCATTTTTGACCGCCAAATGGCATTTATTTTACTTTTTTCATTAGATCTCCGAAACCGCTAGACCTGCCTTTATGAAAATTTGATCAGTTAAAACAAACTGAGTTACCGTTTTTGGCACTTTTTGCCCCATATCTTCGGAACGGCTAGACCTGCCTTCGCCAAAACCTAATCAGCACGTCTCCTTATCAATATGAATCGAATGTTTTTTGAAATATTTAAATCGGTTGATCGGTGTTCCCGAAATCGTCGACGAAAATTTGTTTTCCGCACACACACGCACCAAACACACATACACACACACACACACACACACACATCATCCATTTTTTCTAAGGTATGCCAAAATGTTCAGAAACCTTTGAAACGTAAAGATTTATAAAAACTTTCATTTTCGATTTTTTTTGCAATTACTAAAACTTGTCCTACGGGAAGTTAAATATATGGTAGGGCGGGGCACAAAGGTCCAATTTGACTTTGGGCAATAATATTGTGAAAACCTAATCAATTATAGGTATAAGGAAATTATTGAGTACATAATTTATAACCGCTAATAACATAAATTGATTTTGATATTAATTTTATTAATACCTACGCTTATTTATTATGATATAAAACTTATTATAATATAAGACTAAATTTGGGATATGATAATCTTACTATTATCATACTATTATATTATGCTATTATATATCATAGATAATTTAACTATTATCATACTATTATATTATGCTATTATATATCATAGATAATTTAACTATTATCTATTATACCGTGAGATACCTATGTCATCAATTTCTCTATCCATACAAATAATCTATTATAGCTAGATTATTATTTGCTAACTAACTTTATATGTGTATATATATATATATATATACATGTATATATATATATATATATATATATATATATATATGTATATATATACATATCAGACACCTTACATACCTATTTAATATTAAAGTGTTATATTTATACCTTACGCCCTATTTATTATCTCTACCTATCTATTGCCTATACCGGGGATTGAACCCGGTTCCTCTGCGTGACAGTTACCACTACTCTATCGGGTCCCCCAACTGAAAATATATTATGGAACACACTGTTGTTTCTTTGGTTCATTAATAAATTGAGCATTTTCTAATTAATTGAGTAACTAATACTAAGGTGACGCGACAACACACGAAAAAAGACGGTTGATTGTAGCGTTACGGTGGTTGAGTGGTTAAGGTCGTAGCCTGTCACGCGGCGGACCGGGGTTCGATTCCCGGTAAGGGTGAAAATAGTATGTAAGCGAAATTGTAGGCGTAAGATAATAATTGTTAGGCGGTTTAGATATAAGTGTAAGGATTGAGCGTATACGGTGTGGTGGTAAAGGAACGTACGATATAGTAGTTATAAGGCGTATAACCACGTAAAATGTGATGTTTATGGGTTTATATTAATAGGTATGGTTTAGATATAGGTGATACACATACGCAAAAAGAAATTCATGATATTAGGGGTTATCGTATAAGAATTGCGAATGTTATATAGATTATTTAATTTATAAATATTCTTTCTTCTATACAAATATTTAGTTTGCTGGTTAGTTTTTTGGCAAAGGCAGGGCAAATGTGCAAGAAATGTCGATTTAGTTTTTGAGTCAACGGAGCATCTGGTTTAAATGATTCAAAAAACATTTTACATTTATTTACTGAAGGAAGAAGTGATTTAATTTTTGGGCAGGTCCAATAAAAAAAGTAAAATATTCTCTGTTAAAAATATTAAATAACGGTACGAAAAGTTCTAGCAATTTGCCTTAAGGCACGCCATGCACCTCTAGTTTAGTCTTATATTATAAGAACAAATAGTTCAAAACCATCGGAATCGAAAGGTGAAAGTTTTTTTTAGGTAAATTTGATTATCAATCAACTTTATTTATACTAAAATAATTATTAACTAGTGGGGTGGGTGGCATCGTGCCTTAAGGCAAATTGCCGGAATTTCCCGTACCGTAACGAAATGTTCGAGAAATACTGAATGTTTTCAAATAGATTATTATAAATATTGTAACATTGTCTAATATTTATAATTATATAAACCGAATTGCAAAGTTGAAATTATTTGTGAAGTATATTAGAACTATAGTCAAAATTAAAATTAAATCTGAACTATTTTCGATATACAAAAAATTAAAAAAAAAAGTTGAAACAATTTTTTTTTCCAAAATGAGTTAAGATGAGCAGAAAGTTCTTTGAATTGAATAAATCGGACGCTTAGTTCTCTCAAAAACTGCCATTTTTTGTACATTTAGCTTTGTATCTTCGAAATGGCTCGGCCTGCCTATGCGAAAAACTAACAAACCACTTCTCCCAATCATTACTAATTGAATGTTTTTTAGATCATTCAAATCGGATATTCCGTTCTCTCAAAAACTCGATTTCTATTTTCTGCACTCTTTGCTTTTTATCTACATAACTTCTGGACCTGCATTTGCCAAAACCTAATCAGCACATCTCCTTATCGATAGGAATCGAATGTTTTCTGAACCATTCAAATCGGTTGATCCGTACGCTTGAAAACGTGGACGAAAAATGGTATACATACATACATACATACATACATACATACATACATACATACATACATACACACACATCAATTTTTCCTGAGGTATGCCAACATGTTCAGAAACCTTCAAAACGTCGAGAAATGTAAAAAATTTTAATTCCGATTTTCGGCCCATTACAATAACTTACCCTACGGGAAGTTAAAAACGGCCGAATCCTTCGTAGAACGTAAAGACTACGTATTTCGTTGAACATACTTTGTTCACGAACCTAGACATAACGGAATTTACCATGAACACAACGATTACCGAACAAAAGCGAGTCCTTTCGAATGATTCCGAGCCACCCCGAAAACGTTCTAATAGCTCTCTATCGCTTTTATTTGCTATAAAAGCTCGTTTTTGAAAAAAAAACGAAATTTTCGAAACAATGCCGGACTATCAGGCATTCCAAACTGTTGTGGGCCAGACTATAGGTCTTCTACTGTATATATTTCAATATGTGAAAATTTAGTCCTTGTGTTTAAAAAACAGCAGAGTAGGAAAACTTATACACTAACGATAATAATTACACAATACCATAAAAATTTAGCAAAACCACATAGGTCCACTTACTGCGGCTATCAAGTAGAAAATTCTATATTAGTACCAGATATACTACATTCTAAAGATTTGTTTTAATTTACATATAAATTACAATCTGTCTATAGATAGGCATCGAGTAATTGGTTTAAGAACTAACAGTGGCTTTTTAAAAGGTGAACTCAATCGCTTACCTTTAATTTTTGTACTAAATATCTAATTTTCATCGTATTTTACAAAAAAAAGAGCAAAATTTTAGGGATACTAATATCATCGGTATTGAATTTTTTTCAGTTTTTATATTATTTTTATGGTGTTTTATAAAATTTGCGAGTTTAATATAATCATCTATCATAAGAATAAAACTTTCAAATATTATACTAAATAATATATACCTATCAAATATAATATATTCTGTTGCTTGAACAAACTAATTTTGACAACAAATCATATTTTTAATAAATTTTATTAATTTATACAATAATTTATTTTTAAACGGATAATAAGTTTATGGAACCAAAAATTCTTGAATATTTCTGTTAATGTGATTTATTTATAACTGAAGTATAAAGTAGATAATTTAAACAAAGTACAATTTTATAATGAAAATATCATTTTTAAGTACTTATGTACTAAAATATATTTTGTTTCAAACATCATGTGAATTTTTATGTATCCTGAAAAATAACGATTTAATATAATGTTATGTATTTTTGATATTTAATAATAAAAGTTATAAAATCTCAACAAATAGTATACATTTATAAAGACTTATTGTATAAACGTTTATAAATAATTATTGTATAAACTTTTTTTTAAAAACTAAATACGACTATAGTTGTGCTATTAATAAATATATGTGTACTAACAAGTTCTTTGTATAAAAAAATAATTATTGTATAAACTTTTTTTTAAAAACTAAATACGACTATAGTTGTGCTATTAATAAATATATGTGTACTAACAAGTTCTTTGTATAAAAAAATATTTAATTATTCATTCATTCCAAAGACATACTTATGCACTTTTGTGCTTTTATGTAATTTAATAATAATTTTATTGCTAATAGTTTTTACTATCACTTCTAGAACTTAAATTATATATTTTTTTTTTCAGGGCCCTGTATCTTTTAGTGGAGCTGATAGAGTAGGGACATCTGCTTTTTATCAAATTCAAGGTAAGTTTTTGTTATTATTTGATATAAATTATTTTTAATTATATTACAATATATTTTATTATGAAAAATGCTATGTATAGGTAAGAGTATAAGCAACGTATCGAAACGTGCCAACATTTTTTCAAACATTTACAATTTTATGTGTAAGTTGCTTGCTACATTTTTTTAATTCCATAATAAAAACTCAATTTTTTATCAATGATATCATTATATGAATATTGAATAAGTAAATCCTCGAATTTCAATTTAACTACTGAATCATATATATAATAACATGTGAAGCTCAGCATTGCCATTGAATTCGTCTTAACAGCAATCGATTTCATATCAGACTTTCCCTGGAGATACATAAGAATAAAATATTACCTATGTCAGTTTTGTTACCTTTGAACGAGCCCAATATTACATTTCCTAAAATAATCCTATTTGTTTTTCAATCATTTTCTCAGCCTACAAAAAACTTTTGTCGAACGGTTGCCGATCTTCGAAAGTATGTATATAGTAAAAGTTCTATTTTATGGATCAGATTAGAAAATATATATAAAGTTATGGTTTTAATTTATTTAAATCGTATATATTTTGTATATACCTTGTAACGTATTAAAGTAAGGTTTTACATTTTTACTATCCTTTCTTCGTGAATAGAAAAATATTTTGAAACAAAAAGAATCCATTCATTACATGTTCTGTTCATTTCACGATTTATCTGCCCACATGATGTAACTGTAAAAGAAAACTCAATTTTTATTTGGCAAAAACACGTTTTGATTAAAAATACGTCGGTAGGCAAGCAGATAAAAGAAAATTTTCATTTAAGTCATAAATAATACAAAACCCACCCTAACAGAGTTTTATATACATCTACGTATACATTTCTTCGATTACTAACAGGAAATATCCTTTTTATATTGAAAGACTATTTAGTTTTGGATGTGTATTCAATTTATGCTTCTACAAATTTTAAAGTATAATAAAACTTACATATTATACTCTTTGTAAATTTAGCGTCTTCAAAATAATAAAAATTTTGAAGTTTGAAATAAATCACCCATTTTATAATCTCTTCAAAACCAATTATATAGAATCTACAAAAGTGACTGTTTGTTATTGTTTTATTAAACATGTTTGTGTGCGATTAATTTATTTAATACAATTATATATTTTTGAAAGTTAATTTGAAATTCGCAATAATTAGTTTTTACTGAAAAGCAAAAACTTTGTATTCAAAATAAATAATCAAAAGGTTACTTAATCTCAGTTTTTCAAATCGAATCGATTTACACATAAGGGATATGTTAAATAACTTGCTTGAAAGCACAATGCAACTTACACTTATTTATTTTCGTTTATCGCTATCGATAATTATTTCAAAATTCAAATTGAACACTCTCTTATACCACAAAATGTTCTTAAAAAAAAACTAAGCTTTCATATTAATGTTGAAAATCTGAATCAATTTGCTGAGAAAAATAGCCACAAAAAAATATAATTGACCAGTTATTGATAGGGTTATTAATGATGAATCGTGATGTGGTAGGGAGGTGAAAATTGAGGGTTGATGCATGTGTTTTGATCAAACTTGCATTTAAAAAAAAATTAAAAATTCATTTAATACATTAAACAAAAATTGCTAGAGGTGGGCAAACCTTAATAAAATTATTTTTTATGTAAAATCGAGCTTTTTCATACGCTCAAAAAAATCTGTCAAAATTCAGTCAAAAATGTTCACTGACCGAAATCGAGATGAAAAATGATTACTATAATAATTCCTAATAAATAAATGTTTGTGGTACGGATTAGTGTTTTTTGTATACGAATTATATTAAAGTTAAAAATAAATATAAGTATGAAAATGAATTCAGCACCAAGAATGTAAAAACTCTTAACCCTTCATTTTATTCAAAATTTTTCAATAATCTAAAACATTGACTCATTTTTTTATTTTTGATAAAAGATTAACCCTTTCCACTTGCAAAGTGCAGAATTATTATGTATTTTGTTGCCGGAGCGGCGACATCCGAGTGGAAAGGAATAAAACTTTGAGATAAACATTTCAAAATTTTACCTTCATAATTTGAGAATTTGCTAAATCTCAATTATTATTGATATATTCAGCTTGATATAGTCAGGAACAACATTTTTGCATATATTTATTGCCGATCAAAATAATATAATATTTTAAGACAATAAATTAACAACTTGGGAAGAAATATAGTAAATATATCGTTTATCTTTTTTACGGCCTTTCAAAAATCGCACAAAGACTGATTTGTGCTGCTTGGACTAAATTGCGGAGGTATGCAAAAAATAGTAGAATTACAATTTTACTTAAGGGGGTCTTCCTATGTGACGGCCTGTTTTTTAGAGATATTTTAGAATTTTTTTTCTACGACTAGTAAATAGTTAGAGCTTCAAGTTTTTTATCATTTATTAATACATATTTGGACAGTATAAATATAAAATTTCAGCTAAAAAATTTAGTCCAACTAGAGTTACAGCGCTCTAAACACTCCCCCCTCAAAAAAAGAGCTCCCACTGTCTCCACGATTCCGGCTGATCGGCTATCTGACCAAAAAAAAATAAACGGCGTTTTAATTTGTAGGCTTAAAAGCACGGAATGAACTACAATCAAATAAATACAAAAAAAAAATGGATGTTTTATAGACATTTGAAATAAAAGTTGCAAATTAGGCGGTTTTTTTTTTGTTTTTTTGCTATAAAAAATCGAAGTTTTGAAATTTTTGATTGATAATAGATCATTCCATGCGCTTAAATATATTGAATGTGCCCTGTAAATTTCAAGTAATTCGGTCCAGCCGTTTCTGAGATACAATGGAGACAAATTTGAAAAACACAGTTTTGAGAAAAACGCGTTTAAAGATAAAATGATCGTTGTACTATATACTATATGTATACTTTTTAAATGGCTGTAACTCAAAAACTATTTGAGATATCGATTTGAAATTTTAATATGTTATTTTTAAAGGTATGATCTACCGAAATATGAAATAAAAAAAATTCAATTTTTTCAACTCATCACATAGGAAGACCCCCTTAACTTATTAGTTTTTTATTCTATGTTCCATCGTTTATTCTGAATATAAAGTATCTGCTCTAACTAAAAACTAATTCATGCGATATTCTATTCAAACAAACTTATCAAATTCGCGCTTGTATCAAATAAAAAATTATGTTATTTTGATCGGCAACAAATATATGCAAAAAAAGTTGGTAATCAATATTTTGAGAATATGAAAAAACAAATAATAAAAATAGTCGAGGTTTTAATCCTAGAAGTTGATGACGTGTAGAGTATCAAAGAGATGGAACTTGATCATACCTATGATTTTAGCTTTCCTAATAAACTGAAAAAAAAATTATATATTATCCTTGTAGAATAATGTCACATTTGTATGAACTATAGATACCTAGTTTATACTCTACCTAGATCATTTATTTATAAGCAAACTGGAATAAAAAAAAATTAATATTATTTCAAGCTTCTATTACGTACAAGACATATTCAACATCTAACAATGTGAAAACATATACTTGCACCGATTCTTTCATCATATATAATCATCATATTTATTCTTCTATTTTTTTAAAGCTTGATGTTAGTCCACAAGCTAAACAAATTTACAGTTTTATTTCTTTCCCCTTAGATGGCGAAGCTCTAGATATCGCCCTCTTCTACCCCGATGCCGAAGAATTGGATTTCTCCTGTCCGGGTTGTGTACCAGTAAAATGGCACAGCGGGCAAGTGCCAATAGCCAAAAGGATTTTCAAACTCCGGGTCGAGACAGTAACTCCGGGGGCTTTCCTTGCTATAACTTGCCTCGCTTCCATTGGGATTACACTGGCGGTCGCATTTTTAGCTTTCAATCTGCATTTCAGGAGACTCAAGTAAGGAAATATCAATTTAAATAGAAACAAATGATTTTCTTCCGATCGTAGATAGAAATTGTAAAAGATATTTACTGTGTTGATATTTGGATAGAACTTGTGCATTCGCTGTACTATTGAAATAAGTATTTCTTCTTCGACGGTTTGTTTATAAAAATACTTTTAAATCTGCATATACGGAAATCAATATTTTTATTGATTCGCCAATGTTATATTTAATATTATTTTATAAACCAGGTCACATTGGATACTAAAACTTATTTATTTATTTATTTACTTATTTATTTAAACGCCAATCGGCTTTATACTATAGTAAAATCGGTTTTATAATATAGTTTGCTAATTAATAACTTGTATATTTATATATATTATATATATATATATATATATACATACACATCTACATACATACAGATATGCATACATTTATACATACATATATACTCATATAGTACGCATACATATACATACATACACATATATACACATTCACATATACATATATAAATACATACACATACATACACGTAGACTTCATAATAAAAACCATAATAATTAACATAAAATAATACTTTGCTAACATAATATAAACATATTAATTTATCAACATCTTGAGAAAGAAGTTGATATTTTGAAGAAAATGCAACTGTTTGTCGCGATTGACGTTTCTAGTCGATTTGAACCGTTTGACATCCAAATATGTGTATGTATGTATGCGGTGGTGTTGTGCTAATATTTTTTTTTGTCGGAACGCTAAAATTTAAAATCTAGTTCATAAACCGGTTCAAAAAATTGATATATTTCGATAAGAACTCACAAATCAAATATATTGACTTCTTATATAATTAACTCTATTATATACAGGTAGTCTATGGAGGTGTAGTAGTCCTCCATATTAATACCAATATTATCCAAATTGTAGTAATAATAAATTCCATAAAATATTATTTATATTTCGTTTATTTTATATATGATTAATATCCACGACACTATGTGTTGTCATACTAATCGTTAATAAAATGTTATTGGTATTTTCGTATTTATAATTGAAAAGAAAGGTTTTAAGAATCATACATTTTAGGCAAATTCGACTA